TTTACTCTGTCGCAACATTCGAAATAATCCGGGCACTTATATCAGTATCGAACCGTCATGAATCATACCGGTCGTCATTCAGTTCTGATGCTGAGAAGGCAGGGGGAAATAAATGAATGAAATCAGGAGACTAACCTCTCATCAGTGGGTAGAGGTAAAACCCTTTCAACCACGGCCTTGTCGTCCTGGCGGCGCTCGAACCTAAGCGGGTTGGATGGCAAGACGTGTACGTAGCGCTGCCGCACCCAAAGGCCCAGCTTACAAAGGTTGCTGTCGTGTGTGTCGTAGTAGGTGTCGCGAATAAGTTTCCCCGGTTGTCTAATCACGGTGAAAGAGGAGCTGTCTTTATTGCCATAGAACTCGTGAGGTTGTGCTTGCAGTTTCGCCTGACCGTCGCTCAAGAAGAGAGATGCGAATTTTGGGCCTGGGTTGAACTTGCGCTCGACTTCAACATTTGATACGATCCGCTGTAGCCGCGGAGCAGCAGCTTTCAATCCCATCTGAGACATCTAATTTGATGTCGTGCAACCTTGATCACACAGGACGAGATGAGGAGGAAAATTCCAGCTTCAAATTTCTAGTACTTGGAAGCGGAGTAGACTTCATTCTCGAAGAGCAAACAAAAAGATTAACACGGGTACAATGCATTCACATTTTTCAACTCCAGCCACGCAGCCACAGGCAAGCAAACAAAATCGGGCAATCTATTAGATTGAGATAAGCTTTGAATCATCAAGCATTTCGAATAATTAATCAGATTCCCATTTACTAGAAATATGAACATTCAAAGTTATATCTAGCGAGACCGGTAATAGTTTATACGACCCCATAATAGTACGAATTATATAGCTGATGAAGGGCTATTTGTGCATTAGAAGTCCTCCTGTCTTTCCAGCCTATAGACGTGGAGAATTGCGCAATCACATATAATAAGTAGTTTTGGAAGGAAATCAACGATAAATTCAACGATTGACGAAGTAGTAGATGCCAAAGGGCTAAGTCCGTACAAGAATCCCACCCAAAGACCCCTTATTGCCTGCCCCCTCAGGTGAAAATAGGCCTCTTGTAAGTGATTATGTGAGTAATTCCCACCCGTATTGCTTCACTACTGAAACAGTTGACACAAGTCAAACTGCGCGGGACGCAACACACAAACTCAAAACACCACCAGCCTACCTTACTGGACCTGACATTGGGAGACTTGGATTTGGAAAACTTGAGTAAAGAACGAATTGATCATTGTTGAATTGACTGAGCGGCAATGATAAAAACTCAAATCTGCGCGAAAGGAAAACATCGCAATATTTATACGTACAGGATGGTAATGCAGTAAGAAAAACAGAAAAGCCTACCGCCCGATCAACCAAATCCTTGCAGTCCTAACGCACTCTCTCACCACTCAAGAGACTTCTTGTCCGAAGGTCCGCAACTTTCGGTCATTGATACGCTCTCAGCAACATCCTTCGACCACTCATACATCCCGCCGCGTTGCTTGAATGCTTTCTCGTCCCAATGTATTTCACTGAGAGCTCTTTGCACTCCGACCTCTAGAATCGACCGAGACTGTTTCTCGACGCCGGCTCCCTTGTCTAGAAAGCATAGATATTCATCCAAGATGAGATAACTGGACGCCATGAGTGAATTAGGCTCGGACACAAACGATTTGAGGTGCCGATGCTTGTTGCAGAACGTCTCAAACTGGTCGTCAGAGATGAGAAGTTTTCTAGCGTTTCGTTTCCGCTTGCTCAAGTAGACGTCCTCATCCCCAGCGTCATTCTCTCCTTCTACAAACAACACCTGGAATACTTTCCAGCGGAATGGATCCAATCGCTGGACTGTGTCCACCATGTCCTCCTCCCAGTTATGAGTGCAGACCACAGTGTTGAGCTTAAACTTGATACCTAGCTCTCGACACCAGTCACGAATCTTGAACAACTGTTCAACATTGTTCCCGGTGCCGCGGCCAATAGCAGTATTCGTTTCCTCGTTGAAGCTATCGCACGACACACCCAGCACATCGATGAATCGACCGTTTTCTTCCATCCACTCTTTGGTAACCTTCGTTCCGTTGGTAATGATTGAAACGCTTTCGAGTTCAAGCTCCTCTTTGCAAAATCGACAAAGCATTGCCAGTTCTTTGGGGTAGAGAAACGGCTCGCCTCCTGCAAAATTAATCTTGCGCATGCCGGCTTCCTTCAGAAGGCGAAGCCCTCGCTTCATCTCGACATCGGAGGCGACATGAGAGCTCTTTTCGGTGTGGAAACAAAAGGCGCATTCCTTATTGCATTTACGAGTGAAATGGTAGTTAACTGACACTGGCGTAATAGATTTCCCCTTGTGACGTTTCCCGTAGACTAGCAAAAGTCCAATGATGAAGATAGTCCAGGCGACCGCGTTGGCAGGAGTCCAATTCGAAGAGATTATATCTTGAAGCATCGTTGATGTGTGATTGGTTTCGTTTATGCTTGTTTCCGGAAGAAAGAGTAAGGAAACTGCGAAGTAATGCTGTGTGAGAAGGATTGTACGTCTGCCAATTATTTGGAGACTGCCTTAGGTGGAAGACACCTAGAAGTTCTGAGCCAGTAAAGTTTTCGTCAAGTTTCTGAGTAGTTATGATGAAGTAGATTGTAACAATGGTGCCGAGGAAAATATTTTCACTAGGAGCTGTTTAAATATTTTTTCTTCTAATTTTACTGCCGTAGTGTTTGCATTGCACATGCATGTGTAACACTGTCTTCCCGTTCGACAGAAACAAGATGTTTCTTCTTGTACTTTGTCGAGGTCCATGAGTTGCTAAGGAAATAATCAAAAATTTCCCCTAAAATTTCTTTCAAAATCCTTACAGTCATTATCTTATATTATTTGTGAATGGTAGTTTGAGTGAACTATGGATCAGAATCCTTCCGGAAGGAGCTTGACATTCTACATATAACAGGTCTCGGCAGCAAACCTTTCTTTGTCATGCTGGGCAACTCGATTGTACCAAAAGCAAGTATTTGGTATCTGAATCATCTAGCTGTAAAACGTTGTCCCCAAGAATACCAGTGCTTTCCGGTGTATCTTAATGGAAGCAGCCAGGCAAATCTACCTAGGTATTCAAGCAATTTGCACGCACACACTTCTCCGTTGAAGTATAAAGACACAAAACACTTCCAATTTTCCATTTCTTGTTCCAACATTCTGTGCAAAGAAACATCAATCTATTTAAGATGGATTCTAAGTCAGAGTCACACAGCAACACCATTATTTTCATACTTGGTCCCCCAGGGAGCGGTAAGGGGACGCTTTGTAAACTTGCGACCGATGGGCTCAGAACGCCCGATCATCACTATATTCACCTCTCAGTGGGAGACTACCTGCGCGAATTATGTGATCCGGCAGCCGCTTGCGAGGTAAAAGGTTTCAATCACGATGAAGTTCGTGAGCATTTGCGAGAGAGCAAGCTTCTACCCGCCGACGTGCTCATCCCAGTTCTTGAGTCCAAGATCAACTCTACACCGAAGGAGAAGAATACGACTACTACTTGGTTGATCGACGGGTTCCCTCGGAACATGGAGACTGCGCTCGCATTCGAGGAGAAGGTATATATGAGAGAGAAACCGGAACAATATTTGAAGGCAAAAATTGCTAACTTACTGCCTAACTAGGTCGGCAAGCCAGTGAAAGTCATTGCACTGGAGTGCAAGCGCGAAATCGCTGAAGGAAGATTCCTTGGAAGAAGCAGAGAACGAACCGACGATGTGAATCGTTTTGACAAGAGGTACGGCGAGTATATCGAGAACATGAAGGCAATTCGTGAGCATTACGCAGAAATCATGGACACTGTATGTATTTCTTCTCCCCCCTCCCTCCCGGTAAATATGTATGTACTTGCCCACTGAACCGTGTCACAGGTTCATGTAGATGGAGACCGAAGCGAATGTTTGGAAAAATTCATGGTGGGATTACGACAAGGCTTGTAGTGGTTGGAAAGGTTCAATCGCAGGGGACAGCTAAAGAAAGTGAGGCACTGGGTGTGTGTTAATCTTGAGTGAGGAGACTTACTGTGACTTGCTGGTCACTTGTTGTGCTGAGAAAATGTACTTGATACTACTCGATTCGGTAGCAATGAACTCCAGGAAAACTTAAAACGTTTCTTTATGCAGAGTATGTCAATACAAACGACTACAAAATTCCTAGCCATCGCAAAGTCTAGTACGTTCCTATAATCAATCGAACTAGCAATGTTCTGATAATAGTATCTAAGCCTTCTTCAAGTGGGTAGACTATTATCATAAGTGCTTGCTGCGAGAATTTAGAGAGATATTCAAACTGTGACAATATTGAAAGAGGCTAAGGGAATCATAAAGGTCTTGTCTCCTGTCTAGTCATGGTGGCAAATCTATAGATTGTATACCCGAATAAGATAATTATCTTCGGTAACAAGGGCTAGTGGACTAGGCTTGGACTAGTATTCGATGTTGCAATAATTTATTTGGGCGTCAAGGAGGCCATACAATTCTGAGTCCTCCCTCCCCAATACATGTACCTTCGCTCTTTTCAGTATCGTACTTTCCCGTAGAATCGAAGTATAGAGCAAACATGACAATAGCAAACACGATAATAAGGATAGGTATGGGTAGCTGAATATACGAAACGTCGCCTCGTTGACCTACCCCTGGTATAACGGGTAGTTGCAGTCCCATACCTCAGAGGTTCGTCCGTGTGACATCTACTTCGCTTCTCATTGCCTATTTCGCTTTCGTACAGCCATCTCAGAAGATCAAGCAAGCAGAGAGTTAGATACTCTGTCCTTCTGATCTGACAGCGATATGTGGTTGACACCAAAAAATGTCTTAGTACTCAAAGATTTCTTGCCACCTTTCTAGGTACCTGCTCACCCATGTAACAAAGAACTCTAGACCTACTATACAAGTAAGCACTTGTTGTGTCTACCTACTCACGGAAATTGTAAAAGAAAATCCAAGAGGAACTGGGAACATACGAAAGTGAAAAAAGACTGGTCCCAGTGAGGCTTGAACTCACGGCAACCTTACACCTGAGTCATGATATTAGTACGACGCTCTAACCAACTACCGTATGGGACCGATGAATGAAACGAGTTGTATAACGGAATATGATCAAAGCTGGTCGCCGTAGGAAATGTGTCAATCATTGCTTCGATCGGCTGAGATGCTGCTGACCTATTCATCTACGGAAAAGCCTTAAGAATGAAGGCGCATATATAGGGACTCCTCAGGGCTAAGGTACGAATGCATCGAGGTGCTCACAGTCCCAACTTTTACTCATTGACCGACTCAGAGTCATGCCCTAGGTTCCGTGTTATCAGTAGTTTCCTGTCAGCAGGAAATAAAATAGATTTTCACTCATCACTGAGCGTGGATCAATTTTTGTAGAACGAGCCACATGTGTATCATTTGGGTTTAACATGTTCAATACATTACTATACAGGATCGGAAAGAGGTACAAGAACTTGTCAGGTACATCTTGTTCTGTCTTATTTGTCTTTGGAATTCACGGATTTGATAAGTGTGGCGTTAACATCCTCCTTCAACTTCTGCAGCCTCTTGATCAACTTTTTATTCTCCAGAGCTTTCAATGCCGCGTTGCTACCCGCCTCTTTTATAGACAGACCGCTTCCGTACCCGAGATTGAGATTCGTTTCGCCTAAACCGTTGTAGTATGCCCCCACGGTGAACCATGGTAGGCCAGTGTTCTTATCCGTCTTCGGATTGCCCGTACTTTGATAGGAAATCATGACCCCTTTTGTGCCAATGGCCTGTTGTAAGGCAGTTTTCGGGCTCAAGTTGTTTTGGACAGTTTGTGTCGAACTGTTGATAGGTAAGCATTTCGTGCTGATAATGGAATTAGAATGGCCGAGGTTGACAGACCTCTTATGTTCATTGTTAATCTCCTGCTTGAGGACAGTTCCCCATATCAGCTTCAGCCATGCGATAACGCGTGAGAGACCGTCAGCATCACCCAGAATTGCCGCAGCAGCATAGGCCTCTAAGAGGTCACCGAGAATCTTTTTTCTCTCCTTTTTTGACGCCGAGGTGCCGTTCCCAGTCTGGGATTGTCTGCCGCCAGGCTGGAATTCGGTGGGTAACCTGGCTCGCTTGTCGATGTTGTAACGTAGAGTAAAGTCGGATAACGTCTCGTTTCTTACGAGTCGTTCCCGGAGTTGTGAGCACCGTCCTGCGGGCAGGTTGGGAAAGGTTTGATAGATGAACGAGGATGAGACAAGGTACATATAAGCGTCACCAATCCACTCAAGCCGTTCATAATCCATCTCATTCAGCCCTCGCGCTATACCAGAGTGCGTACGAGCTGCTTTTTCGAGGACGGGATCAAGAACGGGAGGCAGGGGAGGCAGTACATCCCCAGCGGGAATGTCTTGAGGTGTCCATTTCGTGAGCAGTGCTGGATGGGGAATCAACAAGCCTGACTGCGGGCGACCATTTGACGATTTTGGGTGCTGGTCCACTTTCTGAATCTTATGCGAGTTTTCTGGTCCTTCACTCAGACTGGCGGTCTATCATGATGTTAAAGGAGAAATTACGACTGAGCATAGGCCATCATGTTTCTCACCTCGTCCTGAGATAATGCCTGCGCTGCGGGAAGTATATGAGCATTGTGTTGTTTTAGGGCTAAAACGATCTTCTCGTGTGATAGAGAATCGCTGCCATTTCCTAGTCGCTCAAGGTCTTGCTTTAGAGACTGTACAGCTTTCAGTAGGTTGTCTGCGTGTTCTAACACTGAAGCATAACGAGAGTCTGACGTTATCGTCGAGAAGTCCTGGAAAGTGCGTTTAGACATGATATTTGGTTTGTACGGGATTGCTACCTATGCGGGTGGGGGGGTTCCTAGAAATCGTTGCGCAAGGCTTGCTAAAGGATTACAGAGGCTTGAAATGAAATTTTCTAGCAATTCACTTTCTTGAATTGCATTCTTAAAAACGAATCAACTTTAGCAGAAATTCAGGCAAATACTATTATGTTTTGTTGTACAGAATTTCAACGCTGAAATGATTGCTGGCTAGAAATGATTTCAGCTTCTTGAAATTCTATTGTGGCTAGGTGTGGCGGGTGCAAAAGGTGGGCCAGGGCCCCACCAACCCTGTACATAGGTATATAAGGGCTGGCAGGACCCCCTGCTTCCTACCTTCCATTTCTACCTTTAATTCTTTTTTTTTTTTAATAGGCTACAGTGGGATTCGAACACTAGGTCTATAGCTACAGACTACGGTCTACGACTACTACGATCTTACCACTATACTACAACTACAAATCTACAGTTATTACGCGCATGTAGGTGGTAGCCCCAATTGATATTGATATTCTAGGTCCCAAGGGCTAATTGTATAATTAGCTAGTTATAGTGGGTCGTCGGCAATAGTGGGGTAGCCGATTGGGTTACCCGCTGGCAATGATTTCGCGCTGGTAATTCTAACGTGGCTTGGCAAGGGCAATGTGGCTTAGTAAGGGCAATATGGCTTGGCAATTCGCGTATGGCTGCAATACTAGTGCCGGGCTGCAGGTATTACACTTTGGTTAATAATTCAAATTGAAATTCTACCCGTTTGAAATAAGTAACCTCTGCAGACATAGATCACAATAGAAATAGTACGGTTATTGTGTGGCAAGGCTTGTACCTTGGTTTAGGATTGCAGGGGCTGGTAATTCTCAAATCACGCTTTCTAGGAAACCCCCCCACCCGCGTAGGTACTGGAGTGCCTCCCCTCCAAGCTCTGTTATGCAGGTACCGTAAGTATTAAGGTTAGGTAGGGCCTCAGGAGCTTATCGGACGTTGTAATGGACCTTTGCGCTAAACTACCTTAGGTTGCTCTGGGTCTGCTCTGGGTGCCTCTAGGGTGGGCTCAAAAAAATCCTGCCGTCTGTGCTGACGTGCAACATAGAGAGGGCGGGGGGGAATGTTCTATTGCAGAAATAGCAAGCATAAGAAACTTCCTAGAGAATAGAAAATCGTCTTTATCAAATGATGCTGTTCTAGAAATATTTCACTTCGATGTTATTTGCAGTTTTTGTGGAGACTTTGGAGTGGAGTACCTATTACCAGGAGCACGGGCCAAATTTGGAGCTCGCTCTCAACTTCAAAGTTTCAAATCGTCCGAGATATCCAGGGCGCAATCATTGAGCCACCCAATCAGCCAGTATGACCGCCGTCCCTCGTGCTCGTCTGCTGGACCTTATGAAGGTATGGGATTCTCGATGCTCTCCAAGTGTGGCACGCAAAACTCATCTCATATATCCAGGTCCAGTGCCAGATCTTCTCGACCACCTACAACCCCGAAGGAATACGAATGGGAAATAAAATACTTCGACAGAGACTTCGAGGCCCATCCCTAGCCAAATATTATCCTGCGATAGGCCCCACGATAAATACGTTAGAAAAGGAATTTAGAAGCTTAGGACTCGAGACGTTGAATGAGGAAGAGGAAGATCGACAGGAACATCTAGCAGGGCAAGTTCCTTCCGTGCTCGTTGCATACGGATAACTAACTTTCGTTCAGCCGGAGACAACGTGGAAAGGGTGCACCGAAGAAGAAGCGGATCGCAACAGGTATGATCTCTTACTGACCTCCTCTGATATCCTAGATATTGACGCTTCACAAAGAGAAAAAAGGCAAATAAGAGTTGCGTTGGTCACAACCTTACTCACCCTTGTAACATTGATTTGTACAACAATTGCGATATCCAAGAACGATAGAGGAAGAAAATTTTTATACGAACACGACTACACGACTACAATATTTGTGGGCGGTTGATTTTGGTTTTTGAAACCTTCCCACCCCCCTCGACCGTAGGTCGCGACAACGATCTGACGTCTTCCCACCATGGCTGGCGGGAAACATACGCATTAGGCGCTAGCTCATATCGCGTAGCATAAGGACGACAAATCTGAACTGCCGAAAAAGGCTATGACTTCAGGACAGGTCTAACAAATAAGGAATTCGAGTGTTGCGATTCCTCATCGAAAGATATAGTATAACATTAGATGGGTTAAGACCAAGTCAATGAAATAATGAGACATCAATTTATGGATTTCTTCCTAGGGTTCACCGCTGATATCGGATCGGAGATTGAAATAATAGGGACCAGTCGTGCGCAACTTCGTCTAGTTCTCATTTATAGACATCTCGACTCTTCTCTCGTCTGTTCTTGTGTTCTCGACGAGCATTCGGTATTTTATAGGTCGATCGGCGCAAGTGGATGAACAACATGCTCTTAGTAGAACTTAATTGGAAGTGTCTGAAGCCCAAATGACAAGTTGCAAGGACGAGTGCCTAATTTTTTTAAGTTCAATCACGCCTTCGGCTGACGCAACAATATCCTTGGGTAAAGTCTGAGATATCTCTGAATATGTTGTTTAATTGGTTATAGGATCAATTCTGCGCTCGTCCTTGCTTACCTAACGATACCTACCTGTTAGAACAAGTATTAACAACCAGCATTGGAGCCCTCTTAGCCATCGCGCTTTCTAGTTCTAGTGTCTGGTTGCCTGGGAAAGTAGGTGCCTACCTTAACTTCAGATCAATCAGTTCGACGGGCCTGCCCTGCCTCTTTTCTTCCCAAGGCCTCCGCCACTCTTTGCACCCGCTTCCAATTCTCCCTTGATTAGGTATACTTCTTTCTCCTCTCGCAACTCCATCACGACCTCCCCATCACCACTTGTAATACCCTAATACCCTAATTCACGACTCCCGCCAGGAGATACTTACCAGGTATAGCATCCTTCCGCTATACACATCTACCTAATTGCCTACTAATTACACCCACCTACCTGCCCTCCGGTAGCTTCTTGTGCCGTCGTCTAACACCTTCCATGTCTAGGTCATTTGAAGCTGCGCGATCTAGTAGGTGTTTGGGTAGACTACCTTAAGAACACCTACCTTAGGTACCTATTACGTCTAACACTTCCGCCATCTATCCAGAATCTTGTCCGTTCTCAGGCATACATACAACAATTGCCACTTCCCCATAATCTCTTCATACTAACAGTCACCAGTCTGCATATTTACTCAGTCCCTACCTCCTGTTAGGTGAACTGGCACACACTATCAACG